TGGCCTTTAAACGAAAATGGACTATATGCGAAGTGGACTAAAGAACAAATAATTTGTATGAATTTGGAAAAAAAATTGTCAGTGAATAGTACTGTTTTCGCTTACATCCGTTTTTGGCCTTTAAGCGTAATGGACTATAAACGAAAAGTACTGTCTAACTTGTGTTGCATATAAGGGTTTCTGAGCAAGGATAAGGTAAATTTACTATGATTCATCATACAAATTTATATTGCGGCAGGGTTTATTTTATATTATGAACGAAAGCCTAATACTGATGAGATGCAATGTTTTTGTACGAAATAATTCATCTCTCTCACAATGAGAGGGCAGCAATGTCTGAAAAATTGAATTGATAATTAATATTACAGTAGATATCGGATATAATCACATCTCATATGTAGGGGACGTTTTACACATAATCACAACAAAATGTATCCAATTTAAGCAATTTTATTTATTTCTATATCTACACACATATTTCGCCTGTGAATATTGTGAAAAATCCATAAGCACCAATTTTCTGTAATATTAAACAGCTACATATTCTTTTTAAAGAGGTTCCACTTTATTCCGCCATGCATGCATCACCAAACGATTTGATCTTTATTAATTAAAATCAGCAAAACTGCAAAACAAAAACAATATCTTAAAGAAAGAGCACAAATCTCTTATTTTTTTACAACACTCACTGGATTAAATAAATTTCTGAGCAATCTCTTTAACTTTGTCTACAATTATCATTGATATTTTTCTTTTGTAAAAAACTAACAAATTAACTGGTTTGTTTTGTTTTTGTTATTCTCTCTGTTACTATTATTCCATTCATTCATTGTTACGTTTCATTGATAACTTTGGCTATGGTGAATAGAGAAGAGAATGAAAGGTTCGCGTCTTGGGTGATGAACCTTCACAGTGCTCCAAGTATAAATAATTTACAATTATTTTACTAAATAGCACAAAAAAATTAATTTTCATGGCGATTTTCGTATTCTACGCATATTTTTTGGTAGAAATTACTTATTTTCTGAATATTAAATAATTTTTATAAAATCGATATCGTTGAAGATGGTTGGCAACTTCATGCCTGTGAATCGATATCAATTTTACGTGTTTCTCTTGTTATACACTTTCGCAGCAACCAACTTAACTCTGATGGCTTTTCAATCAGAAAAAATCTTCCTTTTTATTAAAAGATATCTAAGGAATCAGATCGTAATACTTTCAACTAAATCTGCCAAAAACCTTAAAATCATTAAATTTCATAAAGTTATTTTGATATCAAAGTGCTCCATAATTTGCAATATTCATCTTGGCTAACCTATTTTGAGGTAATAAAAATTATAATGTGAAAAAAAAACCTTTGGTAACTAAAAGTGAATTCTAGGAATACGCAATCTCCAACTAAATTAACATTGGATCCATCATATATTCCAACCATCTTGGTGGTATTTACCAAAAAAGTGTTTATATTGCCAAGGAGATTATTGGGGGAGTCCGCCCAGAATCCAAAAGGGAATATCCGGATCGAAATATACCAAGTTTTGTGCCTCTTAAGACCAATTTGCGAATCAACCTATTTTTGGGTACCGCAGTAAATTTCCCCGTGAGCATCAACTCCAAAGTAACAGATCACGCTACCCACAGGGTAGTCGTGCATCTACAGTAAAACATGCCATATTTCTTTAAAACCCAAAATCAGAATCTATACAAATCACCAAAATCCATCAAAAACCACCAACATTCAATGCTTTAATCCATATTTCAATATACATACCATATGGATGGCTGTATATGGTATGTGGCCAAAATAACCTATAAGAACCGATGTCGTCAACCATTGTATGAAAAAATTTTCATGGCGATTTTCGTATTCTACGCATATTTTTTGGTAGAAATTACTTATTTTCTGAATATTAAATAATTTTTATAAAATCGATATCGTTGAAGATGGTTGGCAACTTCATGCCTGTGAATCGATATCAATTTTACGTGTTTCTCTTGTTATACACTTTCGCAGCAACCAACTTAACTCTGATGGCTTTTCAATCAGAAAAAATCTTCCTTTTTATTAAAAGATATCTAAGGAATCAGATCGTAATACTTTCAACTAAATCTGCCAAAAACCTTAAAATCATTAAATTTCATAAAGTTATTTTGATATCAAAGTGCTCCATAATTTGCAATATTCATCTTGGCTAACCTATTTTGAGGTAATAAAAATTATAATGTGAAAAAAAAACCTTTGGTAACTAAAAGTGAATTCTAGGAATACGCAATCTCCAACTAAATTAACATTGGATCCATCATATATTCCAACCATCTTGGTGGTATTTACCAAAAAAGTGTTTATATTGCCAAGGAGATTATTGGGGGAGTCCGCCCAGAATCCAAAAGGGAATATCCGGATCGAAATATACCAAGTTTTGTGCCTCTTAAGACCAATTTGCGAATCAACCTATTTTTGGGTACCGCAGTAAATTTCCCCGTGAGCATCAACTCCAAAGTAACAGATCACGCTACCCACAGGGTAGTCGTGCATCTACAGTAAAACATGCCATATTTCTTTAAAACCCAAAATCAGAATCTATACAAATCACCAAAATCCATCAAAAACCACCAACATTCAATGCTTTAATCCATATTTCAATATACATACCATATGGATGGCTGTATATGGTATGTGGCCAAAATAACCTATAAGAACCGATGTCGTCAACCATTGTATGAAAAAATTTGTGACATATGATATATATCTAAAACAAAATTACACAGCTGTCAAGACGCGCAGTACCAAAATTCGGATTAAAAACCACAAAAAATTGATTATGTAATCCTAATTTACACCGGTCTTTATAATGTGGAGATCTGTGCAGAATGTTCATTGAAGTGACCAAAAATAAACTATATATAACCTATAACACCTGAAGCCATCGGAGATGATATTTTAAAATTTGCCGCATATAACCTATACATCTACAAAATCACACATCTGTACAGGCATACAACATTAATTCCAACAAATAATTCAATGCAACTTTTGGAGAAAAACCTGATATTATATATCGTAAATTTTAAGTATCACCTTATATAACAATATAATTTCATGAACATGGTATATCATAACATTCTTTAAATTTTTCATTTAAATATAATTTGAAAGAATTCACTTTCAATCCAAATTATAAATTCCATTTCACAAATATGTATGTTTATATCATGTTCACTCAAACATCATTATATAATTAATATCTGATTAGTTTTTATTGCATGATAGCTTAATATTATTATGTTGCATGATATAAATTTATATCAATCATTGTACACGAAAGAGATATGATCCAGCTTCCTGATATTGGAGAAGGCCTTCATCAATACCGGACAGCTTGGTAAGTCACCTACGAACTCTTTATTATTCTCTTTTATTAATAATTGAGAGCATTATTTTATAGTATGGCGTAATAATCTCTTTCTTTTGAAGAGAAGATAAAATCTCTTTATTATCACTTAAACTTTTTTTGAGTGAAATTTTGATTTTCTATAAATATGTGCTCTCTGTAATTATGGTATGCATTTGTATTATTCTTCATAATTAACCCATTAAGGGAATATACATTTTTTTTAAATCTAATAAATAGAATCTAATAAATAGAATTATTATTTGTAAATATATTACTTATAAATATTATATTATATGTTGAAATTTATCTGAAATTCTTTAAAATTACTTTTACACATATAGTTACATAGTGATATGATTTGAATAAACCATCTTTTGAATTCATAATGAATTGTTAATCTTTTTATAAGACGTTTCTTGTAAAATAGGGATGCCAATATAGATTTAGTGGGATAGTAAAGTAGGGGTCCATTCAATAATTCTAAACCAAATTGGACATAGGTTGGTGAGGGTTAAGAGGTGATTTCTCTAAAACCATCTGAGAAATCCAGACTTTTTGATACTATTTAGACAACATCTCATCATCAATTTCTGTTATAATTTTAAATGGGGTTATAGATTTTTCCTGATTTTTATACATTTGGTCCATATTTTAGTATCTTTATTTAAGTTATTTTTTTGTTTTTGAGGGAGTCTATAATAATATCTGAACAATAAACGTGCATTGGTTGTAGGTTGACACGAACCCCCTCATTCCCGACTGCAGCTACACATCAATGGCTCCCGCCGTCTTCTTTGCAACCAAAGGCTAATTTACATCCTAGATGTAAAACAAAACTTATTCCTGTACGTTACAGTATTTGGCGCCCAACGTGGGGCCTGGAAGATGATTGAATCCTGGCTCTTTTATCCGTTTATTATTTTAAATTTCATTACTTTCAAAAGTTATAAACTTATTCCTATTTTAGGTAATCTGGATATAGAATATTTGCAATTGTTCTTCTGGAATTTCGTATATTTGGAGTTAACTTCGAATAAATGACCGATGAATTTAGGGCAAATTTTTCTATTTCTATGCATTTCTATCATAGTTGTAAATTTTGTACTTTTTCAGATTTTGGTATCTGCCCTATATATTGTTATATATCCGACTTCGGAATCAGCACTTTTTTCAACGTATGGAACATCATTATTATTGCCGAAGGCGATTTTATGACCTATGTTGTTAAAAACGAGAGTTAAAAAAAAGACATTTATCAAACTCTACGCTGGTGTGTTGGATGTAAAGACGTATTTGGAAGATATACAAAATCCCATAGACCAATTTTTTTCCTCTTGTCTTAATAGTATATATTTTTATACCCTGATCTATTTTTGAGCAGTTCCTAGCAAGAAACGTCAGACTCTGAACAAAAAATCTATTTTGTACGCTATTTAAATCTTATAATCTTGTTTCTGAGATTAATGTACTGGCATCTATTTTTATATATATGCATATAGAACTTATTCTCTAGGTTCTATATAAAATATCCATTAAAATATTTCGTATGAGAGCTTACATTTATTTTCTTTAAAAAAGATAATTTTCTTTAAATATTATAATATGGCTGAACAAGCAGCTGTTGAAGATCAACCTACGGGTTCAGCTAATATAGTGTCATGTCAGGTTTGTAATGAACCTATGAGTGATGGTCAAGATTGCTTGATCATTAGTCAATGTCTACACTCATTTCACAGGGACTGCATTGAATCCCATTTATCAAGCTCTGCGCAGTGTCCTGTATGTCAGCATCCATGCCAGCTCAACGAGCTGAGAAATTATGTCGTCACGCCAAAAAGGCACCCTTTACCTAAACCAGCCAAAAGAGGTAAGGGAAGAGGAGCAATGGCTCGTTCCTATAATACTAGAAGTGCCAGTAGGAACTTGTTTAATGATGGCCAAAATATGTCTTTCAATAATGACTTAATTCCACATCCAGAACCACAGCAAGGTTTAACCCAAAATAATAATTCTTTAAATAATGATAACATCGTCATATCACCCTTTGCGACTAATGTAAGTCAAACCGGCATTAATCCTTCTGGTGTTGACTACACGGAGATCAATCGAATGATTGAAACAAATATAACTAGAATTTTACAAAATCTTAATTTTGCACAAAATCCCATCAGAACCATTAATAGTGGCGATCCACAAATCTTTAATACCAATAATGTCAGAAATAATAATCCAATCGGAAATACAAATTTTATTGCTAATGCAAACATTATACCCAATCAAAGTCAGGTCATTAACCATAATAATATTCCCAACATTAATAACAATGGTAATAGCCAACAATATAATAATTATCCGTTTGGTAACCCTGCTTCCAATATGTCTTCAAACGGATGCCGTTCTAATAGTACTAATGCAGATAAAGTCACGTCTATAATCAATAATTGGAACCTCAAATTTGACGGTTCTGCCAATGGACTTAATATCGACGAATTTTTATATAGGGTGAAGACCCTAACAAACGATACTTTAGATGGTGACTTTGCTGTTATTTGCAAAAATCTCAATAC